ATTTGTGTGTTACCATTCCTAATGTCTGATATTTATCCATTTGGCACAGAGACTTCAGTTTGGCCAATATACATGGCAGAGGGGCATTGTTGTCACTTGATGGTATATATCACATTAGTGGATGTGCAGGTGGATGAACCCCTGATGTTGTGGCTTATGTGGTTGAGTCCTGTGATGGTGTCACTTGTATAGATGTGTGGATTTGTGTGTTACCATTCCTAATGTCTGATATTTATCCATTTGGCACAGAGACTTCAGTTTGGCCAATATACATGGCAGAGGGGCATTGTTGTCACTTGATGGTATATATCACATTAGTGGATGTGCAGGTGGATGAACCCCTGATGTTGTGGCTTATGTGGTTGAGTCCTGTGATGGTGTCACTTGTATAGATGTGTGGACAGAGTTGGCAACAGGGTTTGTAATTGAGATAGTTTCCTGGGTGAGTGTTTCTGTGGTGTGTGTGACTGCTGGTAAGTATTTGCTTCAGGTTTGGGCGATGTCGGTAGGTGAGGACTAGTCTATCTCCCAAGGTCTGTGAGAGTGAGGGATTGTTTTCCAGAAGTAGGTTGTAGATTGTCAATGGTGTAGTGCAGGGGTTTAAGCTGGGGGCTGTAGGTGATGACCCATGGTGTTCCGTTGTTTGGTTTGTTGGGCCTATCCTGAAGTAGGTGATTCTGGGTACTGGTCTGACTCCTCACTTCCCCAGGTGGGTTTTAAGAACGCTTAATAAAGATCTTGTGTTTGTCAATCTCACAGACAAGAGAGCATGAATAACAAAGCTGGAGTTGATGTACCTTTTGATTGAGTTACCACAGCGTCGCCACTGTGGAGGTAACATCTCCCATCAACTACCCTTACGCTTTTCGATCCAGTGAAGTACTGTAGACAACAAGGCTGTGTCTAGACTGGCAAGGTTTTCCGCAAAAGCAGCTGCTTTTGTGGAAAAACTTGCCAGCTGTCTACACTGGCCGCTTGAATTTCCGCAGGAACACTGACTTCCTACTGTCTGAAATCAGTGCTTCTTGCAGAAATACTATGCTGCTCCCATTCGGGCAAAAGTCCTTTTGCGCAAAGCTTTTGCGCAAAAAGGCCAGTGTAGACAGTTCAGATTTGTTTTGCACAAAAAAGCCCCGATTGCGAAAATAGCGATCGGGGCTTTTTTGCGGAAAAGCGCATCTAGATTGGCACGGACGCTTTTCCGCAAAAAGTGCTTTTGCGGAAAAGCATCTGTCCCAATCTAGACACTCTTTTCCGCAAATGCTTTTAACGGGAAAACTTTTCCGTTAAAAGCATTTACGGAAAATCATGCCAGTCTAGACATAGCCCAAGAGTGCAATCAGTGATTGATTTAGCAAGTCTTTACTAGACCCACTAAATGGACCCTGAGGAGATCGCTTAGGTGTAGACAAGATCTTAACCACTTTGCCCAAAGCTCCTTATCCTTGTGCATCCCTCCTTAATGGATAGCTTCAGAGTTTGCCTCTTATTACTTAGCGCTTTCATAGTATTGCCAGGTCTGATTGTTTGAAAATCATGAGGTGTTCCCAGAAATCATTAGAACGGCTTAAATATCATGAGTGTTAAACATCAGTAAAGTTTGGGTTCTTTTAATTTGCCATCTGCTCTTGGAGCCTTAAGTGTTTGCATTTTCAAGATTTTCCTTGCAACCATGAGTGATGGAGGGGTTTTTAATGGAAGTTGAGTTTCTTAGGTAATAACATGGTTCTAGTAGCTAGAGTCTTAAAACATCAAATATCAGGAGACTTATGATAAAATTTAGAGTTAGCAACACTGATAAAGCAACAAAATGAAAACAATCTGTCAGTTTCATGATCTGTTTTACTCTACTGCATCTTAGGAAAGTTGTGAGCAGCAGCATACACAGGGTGCTGTCTGCTCTGAAAGTTCCATTAGTGATGCTTCCCTGGGTTGTGACTTTGAAACACCTAACTACTCCTTGCTCTGAGTGAAGGGAAGTCTTGTTTATCTGCTATGATTAGCTCTCTAATTCTTTCAGCCTCTGGCAACACAAGCACTGCCTTTCAGGCCTCTGCTAGCCTTGCTGTCTCTGTACAGGTTAGTTCTTCGAGTATCTGTCTGGAGTGCTCAGCTCTTGATCCACTGCATGCTCACAGAGCTCTGTGATTCATTGCTCCCAGAGGAATAAAACAGACCAGCTTACTAGCTTTAAATCACGATCCACTCTAGTTAACAAACAGCGCACAGATCTATTTATAGTGGAAAAAACCCCAATCAGTTTATTATCAAGGAACAGAGATTCAAATGATAGTAAGAAAGAATATTGGAAATAAATAGTTACATAAAACCAGAATTATAACATGCTTTCTAGATCCTAAACTAAACTCTCAAAACATTCCCGTTTCATACAGAATAATTTACCCATGTCCTTTTTCCTATCATTTTCAACCACGATGACCGAGAACCTCGTTTCTTAAGATCATACCTGCTGGCAATGAGTCTTCACAAACTGAAGAATGGCTGTGCATAACTGCAATCCAGATTTACTAGGCCAGACTTTTGATCTTTACCTCAAAACTGAGGTCTCCCCCCTCACAGAGTTTACTTCTCCTGTTAATTTCCTTCTGAA